CTTCAAGGCACTGACTTAACTCACACATATATACTAGATTCGAACCCAATAAATAATTGATATGCGAAATTAAACACCTAAGTTAAAATTACATGTATCTGTATTCCTGACTTCAGCTGTTGTCTTTAATCTCAAGGGTTTGGAGGGAACACTAATTAATATTTTCTGCTTTGTGTGTAAACAGAGCCACTATCCGGTTCTATTCCGTGGTGTCAATGGGACATGTGCCCATGAATTCATTATTGATTTGAGGGGATTCAAGGTAGCACTCTTCCTATAAATTATGTATCTGTGACATATTTTGTTATGCTTCTGCATTTTAACCTTAACTGAGGATTGGTTCAGAGCACTGCTGGAATCGAGCCTGAAGATGTTGCTAAACGTCTTATGGACTATGGATTTCATGCACCAACTATGTCATGGCCTGTCCCGGGAACACTAATGATTGAACCAACCGAAAGTGAAAGCAAGGTAATATGACGCATATTGATGTCAAAATGGATGTCTTTATGCATGTATAAAAAAACAACGATTATGGTTTAGAATTTTTATATCATTATTCCTTCTTATGAAGTGGTGACACGAAAGCATATGGAATTAAACAATTCCAGATTGCACTGTGGTTTGCATTAATTTAAAGTGTTAATCAATTTTATACATAATTTTATCCACTTATGGTAAGTAAAATATTTGAGAGAATGAAAAGTTTGAAATACCTCTATTCGTATGAATTTGACAACCATTTGGATGGAGGGAGTATTTCTTTTTTCTTCAGTTTTGTGTTCCGATGCTATTAATATGTGGCGTATAACTTTTGCAGGCAGAGTTAGACAGGTTTTGTGATGCACTCATTTCCATTAGGGGAGAAATTTCTCAGATTGAGAAAGGGGAGTTTGATATTAACAATAATGTTCTTAAGGTATGTAGTCTATTTTGCACCATTGCTTCTATCAAAACAAATCCGCTAAAAGTTTTACTCAGTTTTTTAAGAATAATAATAAATCTTAAGAAATAAGAATGTGATAAATAAGGCTGTTTTCACTGCAGAATGCACCTCATCCGCCATCTGTGCTCATGGCGGACGAGTGGAAAAAACCATATTCTAGGGAATATGCTGCTTTCCCTGCTCCCTGGCTGAGAACTGCCAAATTCTGGCCATCTGCAGGTATTTTAACTGCTACAGCAACTGATATATATGCAATACTTCCTCTGTCTCCAAAAGAAATTCCCACATTCCTTTTTCATTCGTCCCAAAATAAACTTCCCCCTTTTTTCTTTCCATAATAGGAAATGAATTAGTGGCTTACAATGGAGTTTCTTTTACACTATGTTTGGTTCAATAAATTTGGAAGGAAAAGAAAAGAAAATGAGTTTCTCTCCACTTAATACATTTTGCCTTCTCATTTTCTTTTCCTCTCTAACCATACAAGAAAAATGGTTTTCCCTCTCATTTTCTTTTCTTTTCCTGTCCAAATTTCTTGTACCAAACATAATGTTAGGAACGGAGGGAGTATTTAATTGCTCGTCAAATGTTTCCAAGGAAAAAGAGCATTATTAAAAACCAATGATCCGTACAATACATACTCTGCACCCCCCAACCCCCAACCCCAACCCCCCCCCACATAAGAAAACATAAAGAAAAATGGTTTTCCCTCTCAATTTCACTTTTTCATAAACTCCGTGCAAATTCAAACTAAGAGGAGTAATTTGGGACGAAGGGAGTAGAATGAAAGCCTGAGAATCTGAAACACTATGAAATATACTTACACAACCGGAACCCGGTTTTCTATATCCTACAAATTACTGAGTTAGAAAATATGATTTTCGACAGGGCGTGTGGACAACGTGTATGGAGATCGCAACCTTGTCTGCACTCTCCTCCCGCCATCACAGATGGCCGAAGAGCGTGCCACCGCTGCTGCTGCTGCCATTGCTTAAGTAAGATTATCTCTTCCACAATTCACAAGTACACACAGATACCACATTCATTTTTTTAAAAAATATTATTTACCATCTCTATATGTTCTCTCATAGGTTGAGATGATGTCTTTCAGTTTTCCTTTTTATGTTTGTTTATAGTATACAGTATATAACTGCAGCTAACAGCTGTTGTGTAATTATTATTATTATTATTATTATTATTATTATTATTATTATTATTATTATTATTATTATTATTATTATTATTATTATTATTCTCGTTTATCTCCATTTTTTTTCTCTTTCAAAATGAGTTGCACAATTTTGCAAAGTCATTGATTATTGGGTTGGTTGCATGGTAAAACTTCTTACAAATTGCTTACTCCATACTCTTTCCATGTTGCAAAAAAAAAACTCAAAAAATCACTTTCTTTTTAGAGGGGAATAAGTGGCTCACGGTTTTTCTGGCTTTTTAAAGCAAATTTTAAACCAACGTTTTTATTTTGAACTATTTTTTAAAAAGTTCTATAAAAATCAAAGGGAACATTAGAGTAAACAAATTTTTTTTCTGTAAACATTTTTTAAAACTTATAACTTTCCTTCCGTACTTAAGTAAAAGTTACTCCTGTCACTAATTTTACATCACTATGTTAAAAAAAAATTTATTCAAGTTCTATTAGCACTTAGGCCGTGTTTGGAAAACAGCATTTGGGATAGCTTTTGGCATATTTGACTGACTTTAGCTTTTTTGACCAAGCGAACCGCCAAAACCATTGTTTGGCTAATGACTTTTTCACTTGGCATTTTGATCCGAAAAGCCAAAATCTGAAATGCCAACGTGAGTAGCATTTGGACATGGCGGTTAGGAAAAATATTTTTTTAAAAATCATTTTTGTTGAAAGATATTTTATAATATATGTAAAAAATAAAAGTTAAAAAAATTAAATACGAAAAAATAAAATGAAATTTAAAAAAATTATATTTATAATTCATTAAAAAATTTATATTTATAATTTATTATGAATTAAATGAAATTAAAATTTAATATTCCATACAGTAAAGATTTAATTTTTAGATGTAAAAAAAATGAAAAATAAATATCATGTCTATACACACACACATATATATATATAATTTTTTATTTAATTTTTTTTATTTAAAAAAAATATTTATGATATGATATTTAAAAAAATTGTAAAATAAAATATACCATAAATGGAGGGATGTCCTTTTATATAATTTTATTTACAAACAACTAACTATAAACAGCTAAAGTTGCCAAACATTTAAAATTTAACTGCTAACAGAAACAGCCGGTCAAAACAGCTAACTCAATCAGCCATTCAAATCAGCTAACATAAACAGCCAACTGCCAACTGCTAGTATCCATACAAAGCCTTAATTAAGCTTGATTTTTTTTCCAACGAAATTAGAATCACATTTAATGCTCCGTAGTTTTTAATTCAATTTAGCGAAATCAGATTCAATTCACTTCTGTCCAATTCGACCAATTCAGTCTAATAAATATGCTCCAAAATTTATGCATCTCGATTTAAGTTTTTTTAATGATTATTTTCAATATTTAATCACTTTTTATAAACTTCAAAAATTTGAACCGGCTGAGAGAGCACCTTCTATTGGCGTTTGCAGTTTATTTATTTATTCATTTATTTATTACTCCTTCCGTCTCGTTTTAAATCATCTGTTTTGATTTTTGTGCATATTTAAAGGAAGAGAAAAAATAGATTTGATTTTCTGAAATTGTCATTACTTTTTAGGAGCGGTGACGATGAATGAGAAGATAAGGTAGAGAAGAGTGACTTATTTTAGAGGTAGTTTAGGTATTTTATTCTTAAAAGTTTACGATAACAAGTAACAGGCAACTTATTTTGGGACGGAGAAAAAAGATAAACAGACAATTTAAAATGGGACAGAGGAAGTAATAAAAGAGTATTTTTCTGCGAATAAATTTCTTTTTCAAAGTTATACTTCTTTCTTTCAGAAATTGAAATATGCTATTATCACAAAAAAAGTTCTAACAATGAAATACGGAGTATGCATTTTGCGTATACCAATTTCATAAATCATAATATGCATCCTTTGTTTACAAACATAATTAAAAGTAGCATTATTTAACTAGTATAAATTAATCATTTTTTGTGTGTTTGTAATTGCAGATAACTGTCTTAGGTATATGTCTTATAAATTAAAATACATGAAATACTTGTATCTTAAGCTAGACTTTCTTAAATATATGTTCCTCAAGCTATGATGTTTTAGGTATATATATCTCAAGTTAAGTCGTTTTAGATATATGTCACTCGTGCCCCGCATTATTTTATGTCTCTCAAATTTGGATGTCTTAGGTATATGTCTCTCAAGTTAGACAGTTCATATATACTCCGTATTTCTCAAGTTAGGATGTTTTATACATATTTCTCAGTCTCTCAAATTAAACGAGATTGTCCTTGATAAATGTCACTCAAGCTATATTGTCTTATGTCTCTCAAATTATGGTGTTTTAAGTATATGTCTCTCAAGTTGGACACTATAAAGCAAATGTTACCCATAGATTTGTATAACCAGGAAATAACTCAACCTCTCACACCTAAATACAATGCCGAATTTGATAAAGATAATAGTTTAAGATTAGAATGTTGTTTTAATACCTTTATATTTTGTCATTTATACTTCTTTAGTTCCCAATAGAACTTAAATTTTCTACACCCCGGTCCATGTAACATTAGCTTTCAATGTTATAGCATAACTCGAGGCTCTTACAACGCTCTGTTCGAAAGAATTAATGGTTCCTACCCCCGACCAACCTCCCACCCCCCCCCCCTTCGGTTCTGTGACATTGGCTTTCCTTTCAATTTCATAGCATGACCCGAAATTCCCACAATGCTCCGTTTGGGAAAATTGATAGGTCTTACCCCTACTAAAGCCCCTACTCCCCACCCCTACTAAAAATATAGTAGGTGCTACAATAGAAAAATAAAAGACAACTATAAATCATTCAAACAAACGTGGCCTTTGTACGCATATCAAACCATTCCGAAAGTGATAATCAATTCTTACAACAAACAGGACAGTATAAATGGCACTTCAGCTATACATACACATTGTAAAACTTTGCTACATAAATTAATTAAGATGCCAAAATTTAATCATACATAAGTGTTATTAAAAGATTCCGTTTTCATTGACAACGCGTTATTTTGCAACAACAAAAAAAATGAAATGCGACTGAATTCATTTGACATTGGTGACCAATGTCATATATATCATTGGGTGATTTGGGTCCATTTGAGGGTGTTAGAACTTAGAACGCTCTCTTGGACCAAGAAGTAATTTCTAACCCCCTCCCCTACCTAGCTTGCCCGTCCCCTGCACCCCAGCCCAGCCCCTCCCCCAGGTCTCCCCTTCTTTGGATGACAATCCACTGCGGGCCGGGAGGGGTGGGTGCAAGGGGTAAACTGGGGGTGGGGGTTTGAGAAGGTGTTAGGGAGGGAAGAAACGACTTCGATGATAAATTAAACAAAACAATGTAGGGACCTAAAATGAACCCAATATCTTATTCTTACATTGATCACGAATGTCAAAAGAACCGTGGTGCTCCAGATGAAAGAGAGAGAGATGTTCATGCTCCATATTTTGGAGCTTTCCAAAGCTTAAATGCCAATTCATGCAGGAATCTGTCAGCTGGAATCACAAGATTTCCAGAGTCCTGCCCATTTCATCCACAACGAAAGTTGCATCTAATTAACAAAACAGCCAATTTTACCCAAACCACAAAGACCACAAATTAAACTACATACATCTCTACCTTTTTGTCCCATGTTTTTACTTCGCCATTTACCCTTTTAGTAATAAAATATTCATGTAATGTATAAGGACCTGTTAGGTAAACGCGAGAGACATGAATTGTGATATCTCCCAATAACAGAATCATTGGTGAAACCTTAACAGGGTTCGGATTTGATCTCTCTCAATATCACAATCCTCTCAAATGGGGTGTTTTGATATCTCATGATTTTGGGAGATATCAATCTGAGTGTTTTGATATGCCACTAATCAGATTTTAGATCTTTACGAACACTTACTTAATTCAGATTTTAGAACTCATATAATTTCTTTTAGATTTCAGAACTTATATCATATCTAACCCTACTTCGATCACCAGGCCCTAACGGCAAATGACAAACTTCTCGTTGTCAGTTTTGACACACTACTAAGTAGTAAAACTGAAAACAAAACAATGGGAAAAAAGTTAAAGTATCAAAGAAGAATACAGCCATACCTCTTTAAAATCCTGAAAGGAAAATGCTCTGACCTCATCCTTTCGAGTCACACCGTCTTGCCATTGGGCGACTAACATCGGGCAATGCTGTCTGTCAACCGAGGCATTAAATATGTGTAACATTTTGTAACATGAGCTTAAATGGTTACCGATGGGCATGTCGGGATTGGCCCAAATGTATGTAGGAATCAAGCCCGACATGCCCGGACCGTTAGACCACCACTGAAACCCAAACTATTGATCTAGGACTGGAACCCACGTGATATGAGCCAGTGTGACCCAATCCGGAAGTGGAAATCCTATCTAGATAGGTAGTGGGTGAGGTAGGCCCTATGTTTAGAGGACAAAGAGGCCCAAGCTCCCATGATCATTGTCCACGATCTCATATAAATTTCTAGTATCTCGTATTATCTCTTGCATTTTATTCACTTCATAGTTCATATACTCCAGTGGATTTAAATCCATCAGTTACAATAGAAAGTTTAGAGTGAGAGGGGTCCACATACCTAACGTTCTCTCGAGGTTTCCCACCTTTCGTTGTATAGCTCTGGCACGGGTACAACATACGAAGCTCTGAATTACTCTCGTGCCTATTATCGATAATGGAAAATCTAGAATGGTCGTCGTTTGAAACATTCCCAAAGCTCAGAACGACGGATAGGTGCAACCGGGACCCAACCTCAGTCCCAGGTTGTGCCAATTTCATTAACTCACCTAACACACCATCAACATCTTCTATGCCATCCTCTTCAACATGGAGAACAACCAAATCAAACTGGCTCGTTTCCGAAGCCGTTCCATCTTGAAACCCTAGTAACTTCAGCAATTCCAATGACAATGCATGTGGGTTGTCACGAACTACACATTCTGGCTGCAAAATGGTGAAGCCGATGTGATTGCAGAACGCAGTCAAGCTTGAATTGTTAGTAGCAATAGCAGATTTCATCCCTGCGAACCTAAATTCAGGAATGGACTTTGTGATTTGTCTCAACTATTGTACTCCCTCTATCCCAAAATAAACCTCACAATCTCCGAGAAAGATCCATCTCCCAAAAATGCTATTCCACCCTTATCTACCACTGTCTAGATGATGATGCTACATAGCACAGTAATGCAGTAGGACCACATTTTTGTGTTATGTGGCAGCATCTGAAAGGCGGGATAGCTTTTTTGATAAATAGGATCCCCTGCAACAATTTCCTTGTCTACTTTTAAGGAAAGGAATGTGTGGCTCACGCCATTTCTCTTTGTATTTGAACATATTTTTACCATATCACTTTCATTTTTCTAAACACTATTCTTAAATTCCGCTTAGTCAAACTGTAAAATTTATTTTGGGACGAAGAGAGTATTATTAGAACTCAGTACCCAACACACGCAAATAAGTAAACCATAAAGGAGTGAAAATTGGAGGAAAAAAATAGTTTACCTCTGAGAAATAATTGGCCCTAGAAAGGTCTTCTGAGATCCTGCTTCAGAAGAGTCTTGTTCATTCTTAAGGCCAAAAAAAGAAGGTTTAAGACAAGTATTCATCAACCCAAAAGAAAGAACAGAGATTCATCTTACCATTGTATTATAAGCTTCACTTGAATCAAGTAGCTCTGCAAATTCTCTAACTATTCTTGCATCCTCATTTTCTGCAAACATACAAGTTGCAAGATGACTTCTATGTAGCACAGATTTTTCAAACAAATGTTGCTTCCCTTCCCAAAGACGTTCATGTTTGCGTACTTTGGTACATCCCGACACTCAAAATTTTTATATAAAATTCAGAAAAGTCAGCATTTCTTTGTTTCCGACCTCGTCTCCTTATAAGTACACGTCCTAGTCTCGGTGCAACTTAGGATGACCAAACATCCTAAAACTCAAAGCACATGAACCATAACATTGCAACTTAGTAGACCAGTTTATAGTCCAAATGCTGTGTTTTAGGCTAACCGTGATCAAATTGCTTAAATAAACTTATTATGATCGGATATAACAATAAAAATAATAAACCACATCCTAAAAGCTCTCAAGGCCTTATAATTAGGGTAGCTCATATGCGACAAAAGGTACTCTATGCGACAAAAGCATAGAGGCCTAGTTACAGATGCTTAAACTTAGGGTTATAATTAGGGTTAGTATTTCTATATATTTGTTACTTCCATTACAGTGTATTTGCCCACTGTCCAGTTGTACTTGATGTTTTACTGTTTGTATCTAATACCCTTTTTTATGAACTCACTTACTTCATCAAAAAGAAAGATAAACCATTTTGGACATAAATATAAATAAAAAAAGAAACATGAAATCTTTTTACCACAGAGAGTGATGATAAATTTGAAAAAAATTACAAAAAAGTTTTTCGGCACATATTTACAGCATCATAGCAAGATTATTTTATAATGGAGAATTACTATGCAATGCAATTTTTATTTAAATAACAGTCAGAGTTTGACTTGAAAAGTAAAATTGGAAGAATAAATTGCAATGAAATGAATAAATTTTTGCAGTAATAAACAGCCATTTTAGCCTTAAATCACTCAAATAAAAAAAAAAAGATAACAAAAAAATACAGTGAAAAGATTAATTGATACCAACATAGGAATTAATAGTTCAAAAAAATAGGGTAAACCTGAAGGAGGAGAGTGAGGGAGGGAGAGGAAGCCGCAGCAGGCTCGAGAAGCGAGAGAATGGAGATGAGTATGAGATGGGTTAACGGATCGGGTCAACCCGTCTCCGTACACTACGAGACCTCTGCTTGGCTTGTCTGCCATTCTTCTTCCTTCTGAGATCGGAGCAGATATCTTTATTCCCCTTTGTGGAAATTATTACTCGTAGACGCCGGAGATTATATTGGTGTGGGAATCGAATTCCTGCGTATGGAAATAAGAATCAAAGACTCGTGAAGAAGAAGAAGATAATGATGCTGATTCCCCTGATACACTATAAAAATTTAAGTGATTATTATTATACTGTCACACTTGTCATATTACCATAATATACTGTAACTGTCACACTGTCATTTGTCGTATCTGACCACTAGAGTGTCATTGTCAATCAGTGACGGTTTACTAACCACACAACTACTCCTTCCGTCCTAATTTGAATTGTATATTTTGGTTTACAATATTTAATTGAAGTTATTTTTAAGTCATTTTATATAAAAATGGTACAGAATTAAAAAAAACAAAAAATTACATCCAAAGATCTACAGTGCTAGTTGTGACATGACTATACTATTTTATCAAATGAATAACAAAAAAATAAAAACCAAAGTAAATGAAATTTGACACTGTGAATAGTAAACAAGCAATTTAACTTGGAACGAATGGAGTGTATTACATTGTCACCAATTTTCCATCACACTGCTGACGTGTAATTTTATACTTCCTCTGATGGGTGTATTTCACCCAAGACCGGTCAAAGGAGAAGGCCAAATCTTTGACCGGTCAATCTCGAAAGTTTTGGAAGGGAGACTTAAATCGCCAGCAAAACGATATACCATCAGCCAAATAATGACTGGTACACTTCACAAAAAAGTATACCGGTCAAACTACGTTATCATCCTATTTATTCCAGATTTCGATAAATTCATCCCTCGGAGATTACCCGGTGTAGTTTCTGGGGTTGGAAAGTGTCGGCAGAGGAGGATCTGCGAGGGCTTGGCGTGTAGCGACCCGTGTCAGTAGAGGACAACTGGAGATGCTGGAGAATCCATCCAAGGCGCTACTTGACAAAGGGAATGATCCCCTTCACAAGGCGACAAGGCAGCTTGAGGACGAAACCAGTCACCTCGCACCACATCAGCAGCATGCCCCCACGTGGGCGCACGTGGTCCTGTCCCCTTAGCCTAGTATAAATACTCATGTGAACCTCAGAAAGAGGGATGGCTTAAGTGAGAGAGATTTGAGGGAACATTTTCGTGGGCACGTAAGAGGCAATATTATATTTAACCCGATGTCCACAAGGTGGATTTCAGGATGGCCAGTTAGACGCACAAAAATGGAAAGAATGAAACGGTTTAGTTCGTTTGATAAGATCTGGGCCAGATCATATCAAACTGGCCAGTAGTAATTTACACCATCATCCTCCATCCAAAAATAATCTTCTCATTTTACATTTTTCCCGTCTGAAATTAATCTTCTCATCTTAACTTTTTTTCAACTCTTCCAAAAATATCTTTTTCATTAACTATTATTTCTTTCTTTTTTTTTCTTTTGTGTTCTCTCTTTTCATCATTTCTTTCCTTCTTCTTTCCTTCCTCACTCCGAGATCCCTCTCCTCATCTTTTTTTTCCCGCCTTTCTTCCATCTCCTCCACCTTCTCTTCTCCTCTCTCCCCCACTCTCACCCCCTCCATTTCTTCTCCATTTTTCGTCTAGATTTGTGCCATTGTGGCAACGATGGTAGGGATAACTGCGACAGAAAGAATGACGATGGAGGGTGGCAAAGATGGTTGGGGCAAGGGGCGGTACGTGGTGGAGCTAAAGGTGGCGGTGGGGGGGTTGGCAAATATGGTCCGAACAAGGGCTAGTGGCGACAAATTGGCCGGTAGTGTTGGTGGTGGTGTTGATGGCGGTTGGGCTATATTTTTTAAGTTGTTGTTGGAAGAAATTAAAAGAAGTCAGAAGGAAAGAACTAGAAAAACTTGAAAATCAATTTTTTCAATATTAATCTAAAAACTTATGAACGATTACATTTGCTAAATAAATTTATGAACAATAATAAAACTAGTCAGTTTCTTCAAAAAGAAAAAAAAACTAAATGGTCAAAAGTTCAAAACAGCTATACCCCGCACGGGCCGAATTGGAGTATTATCAATGTTCACCACTAGTGGAATTGGGCCAATTGTTAGCTCAGTGCCGTCAAGATACGGTCCATCTCATCTTCTTTTTCTTTTGGTGACATGAAACTCCGAAGCCCAAACCCAACCAACGGCCCAAATTAATTGTGATCAATGTGAATACGAAATACTCTCTCCGTTCTCGAAAAGGGTTTCTAGTTTGACCAAGTGTAAAAATAAGAAAATATTAAATTTTAGTTTTACTTCTAATTTTTCCCTTAATCTGATGAGTAAAAGTAAGATGTAAGGAATAGATTATAAGAGAAACAGTAGTATGTAATAGGTATGATATGAAAAAGATAAGGAAAAAGTGGTTTTTTAAAAAAAAAAAATGGAAGTGGATTGTTGGAAGTTGAAAAAATGAAAGATGAAGTGTTTTCGAGAGCATCCTTTGCCCATGAAAATAATAGAGTACAAGGTAAATGTAAGTAAAAATAAATAAAAAGTAACACAAAAAACACACAATATTTTTAACGTGGTTTGATTTATTAATCATATCAACAAATAGTTTGGTTTATATGGGGTTTTCACTACATGAAAGAGGCTCGACAATTATGCAGGCCAATCTCTGATAGGTCTAGCTCCTTTCGTCGCAGGTTTACGACGGATTTGAATTTGTTGCAGCGTTAGGAATTTGTCGCAGAGCAATGACGAGATGCACGAGGGAACTAGTTGCGTGAAGGTAATGGTGTTGTTTGTGGCACATAAAAAATGGTTTAATTTGTGAGGCAGATAACGAATTTCTCGCACATTTACTTTTTTTACAACTGTCCTCGTAAATGTGCGATTATGAGAAAAAGTATCTTGTCATCAATTCTAGCGCTCAGCTTGTACTTTATTTAGAAATATGCTCGTTCATATATACTAACAATATAAAATAAGCAGTCGAGTATAGAATAGACAAGAAAGATTTTGGGAAGTAGTTCATTATGCTTTTGCGCCATAGAGTAACTTTAACTGTAATACATTACAGATTGGAGTAATTTTAACTTTTGCAATTCATACTCCATAGTTCATGATACTCTGTATAACTCGCTATAGATTTGATGGACAATCAATGCTTTTTATTTAATTAGACAATTGTTGCGGACAAATCTATTACGAAACATTTTAATTTTTGTAAAAAAAAAACCCTAAAATATTCTCCCTCCGTTCCACAAAACCCTTCCGGTTTTGACTTAGGGGAAAAATAAGGAAAGTGTAATTTTGGTTGACTTTCCAATTTTGCCCTTGATGTGATGGGAAAAAGTAAGATGTGATAGTTTGGTTATTAGTGATAAAGTATGATGTGATAGGTAGGGTATGAAAAAGTAGGGGTAAAAGTGGTTTTTTAATAGAAAGTGGAAGTGTTTTGTGGAAAGCAAAAAAAACGAAAGAGGAAGGGTTTAGTGGAACGGAGGGAGTAGTAGCTTATTTGGTCAAGTTCAATAGGTCATCCTTAGTTATGTTATGACTATTAGATGTGTTAATCATGTTTTTAAGAGCTTTAGCTTTGCTATCTAAAAAGAGCTAGTGGTGCACCTTGTTGAACATTTAGCTTCCATTATAATGTATTAGTCTATTAGACAACAAATACTTCAAAAAAAAATGAATTGAAGCCAAAAAAGAGAGTAAGCTATATTTAATTATGTTTTCCTAGAAAGTTATGTCAAGAGACAAAATTCAATGACAAGCTTAATCAATGAATTAACTCAACCAAACGTTCAAATCCGTGATTGTAAACTCAAAAAATAAACTTTTATAAGAAAATGCACCTCTGCCACAATTTTGATTACATTTTTTCTCCTCTCCATATTTTTTTGTTTATTTGTGTGATTTCATTGATTATTTGACAAAATTAAATACTTTTGTCACATCTTATTTTGTAGAATTTTTGACATTTTTTTAATATGTAATTTTTATTTTTTTTATCGATATACCAATCTATAAATAATATGATTTTAAAAGATGAGAGATTTTGCCTCGTAAATCATAATTTGTAATGAAATTTGGAACGAAGATAGTAGAAAATTTGATGTGATGAATACAGAGTAGATTAATACTCCGTAATAAATTGAAATGTTGTAGTAGGTGGATTAATAATTAATAATGGTAAAACTAATTTTCTAATAGAAAGTGATTTATTTTTAAATAGATAAAAAAAGATGAATGGTATTAAGAGATGAATGGACTATTTTATGTAACTGACATACAAAAGTATTCTAAATTTCCAAATTCCAACCCATATTTGATTAAATATTGTAATTGAAGTGATTTTTTTTTTAAAAAAAAAGAGATTAAAAAAGCAATAAAAAGAAGAGAAAAATAGACCGTGCTGGAACCCATCCATTGGGCGGTGTTTGGATCACGCGGGCAGTTTGTTAAGCTCTTCACATGATCCACCACCAACCAGCAGCTTTTGCCTCTAGTAAACGACAATGGCGATACCCTTCTCCCACAAAAACAATAATAATAATAATAATAATAATAATTTTTATTTTTTTATTTATTTACAAAGTACTTTTATACTTTAAACAATGTGTAATATCTTGTCACATTTAAAATCATTTTAATTACAAATTGTTATATAAATAAAAAGAAAAAATTACACTGTCTAAAACTAAATAAAAAATTTATAGAATAATATATGACATAAATATTTTATTTTATCAAATTATCAATGGGAATATACAAACAAAAGTTATCGAGATATCGCAGGTTTAATAATCGTATCCATTTAGGAACGGAGGGAGTATTTTTTTATTTATCGCTAAAATCGATAATTGTAACCTAAAAGGGTAGCTCAAGTGACAAAGTGAGCTTCTTTGTAGAGACAAGAATCAAGATTTGGTTAGCAGAGATGACAATTTCTATTAGGCCAGGTTTCTTACTTCTTGGAGCGAATGGAAATTAATTAGGTAGATATAGATCATAAAACGAACAGAGAAAGAACATAATTCTCGTGATATACACCCAAAAAATTAACAAGGGTGAAAAACACTTTTTTTTATTTATCATTAAAATCGACAATTGTAATTGTAACCCAAAAGGTGTAACTTAAGTGGCAAAATGTGCTTCTTTGAAACGAGAAGAACCAAGATTTGATTCGTACCGACCACAATTTCCATTATGCCAGATTTTTTGCTTCTTAAAGAGATTTGAAATTAATTAGGTGGATTCAAATCATAAAACGAACAGAGAAAGATTGTGATTCTCGTGATACACACCAAAAAAATCAACAAGTGCGAAAAAACATTCGTTTGCGATGAAAGATGACAAAATTAACTATATATTTCTGAAAAATAGAAAGTAACAAAAAGTACAAATTACACCGTTCAGAAATAAATAAAAATATATTTATAATAATATATCAGCAAAATATTTTATTTTATCAAATTATCAATGAAAATATACAAACAAAAATTATCGACAGACCATAATAATAACAATAGCATCCATTTTGGGATGAATGGGGTTTTGTTTATTTATTGCTAAAATCGATAATTGTAACCCAAAAGATGTAGCTCAAGTGGTAAAATGTGCTTCTTTAATATAGGAGAACCAAGATTTGATTAGCACATACCACAATTTTCATTAATTAGGCAATATTTCTTGCATCTTGGAGCGAATTGAAACTAATTAAGGTAGTGTTTGGCAACTAGCATTTCAATTCCAAAATTTGAAATCCTGAATTTCAAATGACAAAGAGAGGTGCATGAATTTCAAATTAAACTTTGTTATGAAGGAAAGGAATTTGACTCAAATCCAAACTCAAAATGTTTAAGTTTCCCAAACACTGAATTTGAGCCAAATCCGGATTTGAAATCCAAATTCATGTTTCCAAACATACCATAAGTGGATTCAAATTGTAAAACGGACAGAAGACTGTGATTCCTGTGATACAAACCGAAAAAATCAATAAGTGTGAAAAAACATTTATTTATGATGAAAGATGAAAAATTTACTCTCTGTTTCTGAAAGATAGAGAGTAAAGAAAAGTAAAATAACACAGTTCAAAACTAAATTATATATATAAGAATATGTGACAAAAAAATTTATTTTATTACAACGAAAATATACAAATAAAGGTTATCGAGAGGCCATGAAATAAAAGTAGTATTCGTTTTGAGATGAAAGAGATATTTTTTTATTTATCGCTGAAATCGACAATTGTACCCCAAAAGGATAACTCAAGTGGTAAAATGTGCTTCTTTGAAACGAGAAGAACCAAGATTTGATTCGTACCGACCACAATTTCCATTATGCCAGATTTCTTGCTTCTTGAAGCGATTTGAAATTAATTGGTGGATTCAGATCGTAAAACGGACAGAAGACCGTGATTCTCGTGATACACACCGAAAAAATCAATAAGTGTGAAAAAAGCACTTGTTTATGGTGAAAGATGAAAAATTTACTCTTTGTTTCTGAAAGATAGAGAGTAGAGAAAAAGTAAAATAACATCGTTCAAAACTAAATTATATACTACCTCCGTCCCACTCTCTTTGTCCATTTTTTACTTTTAGAACTGTTTATCTAAGTACTTTGACTCATCAAATTCTCTCAATGTGTAAGCCTAAATATAGTCATGTGTGATCTTGTTTGATTTGTCTTAACATATAGATTATTAATATATAATTTCTATAATTTTTTAATATACAAATTACAAGATAAAATGGATTAAAGAAGTGCATTGGATGGTGTGCCAAAAGGTAAGTGGACAAAGACAGTGGGACGGAGAGAGTATATAAGAATATGTGACAAAAATTTATTTTATTACAATGAAAATATACAAATAAAGATTATCGAGAGGCCATGAAATAATAGTATCCGTTTTTGGATGAAAGAGATATTTTATTTATTTATCGCTGATATCGACAATTGTACCCCAAAAGGGTAACTTAAGTGGCAAAATGTGCTTCTTTGAAACGAGAAGAACCAAGATTTGATTCGTACCGACCACAATTTCCATTATGCCAGATTTCTTGCTTCTTGAAGCGATTTGAAATTAATTAGGTGGATTCAGATCGTTAAAACAGACAGAATACCGTGATTCTCGATATACACATCGAAAAAATCAACAAGTATGAAAAAACACTTCTCTGGGATGAAAGATGTAAAATTACTCTATATTTCTAAAAAAAATAGAGAGCAATAAAAGTATAAATTACATCATTCAAAAGTAAATAAAAAATAAATATAAAATAATATGTAAGAAAAATATTTCATTTTATCAAATTATCAAAGAAAATATACAAACAAAAGTTGTTAAGGGACCGTAATAATAATAAATAATAGTAGTGTCCATTTTGGGATGAAAGGGATAATTTTTTATTTATCGTTAAAATCGACAATTGAAACCCAAAAGGGGTAACTAAAGCGGAAAAATTTGTTTCTTTGCAGAGAGAACCAAAACTTGATTCTCACATACCACAATTTCTGTAGGCAAGATTTCTTACTTCTTAGAGTGAATCGAAATTAATTTGGTGGATTCAGATCGTAAAACGGACAGAGAAAGATGTGATTCTTGTGATGCACATCGAAAAAATCAACTAGTGTGAAAAAAATTATTTTGTGATGAAAGATGAAAAATTTACTCTCTACTTCTGAAAAATATAAAATAAATAAAAAGTACATATTACATCGTTCAGATTTAAATAAAAATACACATATTTATAAAATAATATGTGACAAAAATATTGTATATTATCAAATTATCATTGAAAATATACAAACAAAAGTTTCACAAAATATACAAACCGTAATCATAATAGTAGTATCCATTTTGGGATGAAAGGTGTGTTTTTTTATTGGAAAAATTACTCAAAATAATCCCAACTTTACCCGGTCTTTCAAAAATAATCCCACCTTTCACTGTGATGCATAATAATCCCAACTTTACTGAAATTTGTCAGTTTTGGGTCGCCGTTAAGTTTTTAACAGAGGGTTAACGGAAATGCCCATTTTAGGCAACAAAATGAAAGTTGGGATTATTTTTGATGAATTTTCATTTTTTTAATTTTTTTAAAATTTTTCATTTAATTTTTTTAAATTACTTTCTACCTCCATCGTCATTTCTTTTTTTCCTTTTTTAAAGATTAGTCTTAGTTTAAAAAATAAAAATAATAGATATAAAAAATGAAAAAATGAGAAATGTAACTAAAATGATACAAAAATAATAAAACAAATAAGGTAATCAATGGAAACTAACTTGAAATTGGTAAAAGTAAAATAAAAATATACGGGTGGGTTTTAATATTTTACGCATTATACAAAGTATTAACATATCATTTCTTATTTTTTAGAAAAAATTATCTAAAATAATTCCAACTTTACCGGACGGCTTGTTCTTTTGAAAAATAAGTACTCCGTCCGTCCCGCTATATTCGTCCACTTTTGACTTTTGAAACTGTTCATCTAAGCACTTTGACTCATCAAATTCTCTCAATGTGTAAGCCTAAATATAGTCATGTGTGATTTTGTTTGATTTGTCTTAGCATATAGATTATTAATATATAATTTCTATAATTATTTAATATA